GGAATTTGTTTGTTTGGATCAAAATTAGAAATTGAAATTAAAGCACCTTGCCGTTTTCAGATTGATCTGAAATTTGGTACGCACATTTAATTTAGATGACAATACAATATTAACAAAAAAAAACATAAAATAAAACCGTTTAACTTAAAAGTTTTTAAACGGTTTTATTTTATATTCCGTTATTATACAATGTATTATATATATACAGCTATATTTCAAATTTGTTTTCTTCTTAACTTCAGCATTGTGAATTTGCCTTCGTTGACTAAAGTATGGGCTTTGATGTCGCGTAACACTATTTGCTATCGGGTCCTTATGCCATATTTGCCCAAACAAAAATATGAATAGTATATATGATTAAAACAATAGTTGACTTTTACTGTTTTCCTCAATCGTAGACTGAGCGATGGATGATGTACAGTCTCACCACATTGCTCGTGCATAGTTTACTCGGATTCATGTGGTTTTGTTTTCCTCGTACTACGTTCGGACATGGATTGAGCTAAAATAGAATGATGACTCCACATACGCACCGTGTTACGGTTTTATTGTAACTAATTTAAGGAATGTTTTATTATTGAAAGGCATCATGCCATCGCATGTATAAGTATAAATTTAGTGCAAGAGTCGTATCGTAATCGTAATCCTTTTTATAGAATTTTTGTTTGATGAGTTTTCTTGAGATGTGAATTCTTCAGTTTTATTGGCAACGTTGTCATTTATTACAAGACAAACAATGTTCGAACAAAACACAAAGTAGTTTATTGAAGGGTTTTATGATTGAAGTGTAACTTTCTCGGAATCTTTTTTGAATACATTTTCTCGAGATTCGACGGATTTCGGAAAGGCAATTGCCAATGTTGCCATCTTTATAGATAGATGCGCGGAAGAATTTCCGCTATGACCATATGGCCATAATTCATATGAATAAGTGAAACGTAATTGTCATCGTTTCATAGGAAACAGATGTTTCAATGGATTTGATTGATCGGAAAGGTCTGTTAAAAAATTCAAATCCATTACTAAAATATGTTTTTCATTTTCGAGGGTTACTTTTTGTGAGGCGCCATTTTCTTTATCGATTTACCGCGTTTAATTTCATAAAACATTAATATATTAATGTTATATTAATATAAAACATTGTTATAAAAGATTAATAATATTTAAATTTTCTTTGAGAATTTTATAAAAACTAAATCATCGCTCTTCTCCAAATAACCTTTTAAAATGTCTATATTTTTATATTATTTGATTGTTAAAATATAGTTGTTTTTTTTCTTCAAAACAAAATAACTGACCTCAAGACTCGAGATTGCCAAACGATGTATCGCAACAATAAAAAAGGGTATCCATAGTAATATTATAAACGTTTTCTCTTTCACGCAAATACTACTAAATGGATTCTTATAAAACTACAATAATATAGCTTATACATCAGAATAAGACTATAATTTACGACTATAATTTATAAACTTATTTCATGTATTTCTCTCTGAATGTTACGACTTCAGCTACGCAGACGTAGTCGCGGGCAGCAGCTAGTATTTAATAAATGTTAAACCATTTCCAATAAATCTCAAATGGACTATTAGATCTGTTTGTGTAAAATCGAATGTAAAATTGGAAGACTTCTTCAACTACTCTATGGTTTCCAAACTATTCAGGTTAATTTCGTTCTCGATCTAATTTTAATTTAACGGCTACCGTTCTTTAGGCTAAGGCCACTAGATCTACTCGTCTATGACATTTGGACGATGAAGATTACTATCACTTATTGTCCACTGTCCAGTACAGAGGAATCATGTGTTGCGCAAACATTTCGCAAGTAACAACTGACTTAAGAACGTGGCTTGTTTCCGATATTAACGATATGTTTTTGCCTAAATCACCAGCTAGTTTCGATTCGGGCGCCAATAATTATGCCTCTTATATTTCCCGCGCGAATGACAACTTCCGGTCGACTGAGCTCCCGACGTGATCAAAATAAATAGCTTAATTCCTTACGAAAGATGCAACATAATAGTGAATTGTCTCTGATTAGGTTGGTACATTGAATTGACAAAAAATTTTGAGCGATAGTTTTGTTTAGTTTGTTTTTAATGTGTATTGGCGCTGGCAACACTGTATACCGGATATGACGTTATCTACTCGAGCCAAGGGAAACATGGTCGCATGGAGCAGCGGTCACTTGGATTTCGGCTGCGTTCCCGGACAGTAATATAACCACTAGTGCTACTTGTCGTTATAATAGTTGTTAATAGTCAAGTTCAGTAATAGTAAAAATATTAGAATCAAGGTAAAAACATTAGAACTCTTACACAGGGAGGCTTTTCTAAGTATACCCATTTTTTTTATTAAATTCTAGACATAAATAATGTTATATAGAAAATTATAAATATTTAAAATCACTTGTAGTTAATTAATTAATTACATTCTTTTGAACTTATCTCAAAAAGTGCGTGATTTAAGGGCAATTCATTTAATTTTACGCGCGATCATTACGCAAACAAGTCCGTTTCAAAAGTGTACGGCGTATTTATGAATAACTACCGCATTGTCAACAAGTTCTGTTTTCTAAGGAATAGAATTGCAATTTTTTTGAAAAAAAAAAAGTTTGCTTTTATTTCAATAAACGAGTATACTACCGAGTCTGACACCAGTATACACCTTCTGTGTGAATTTGGGCACCTTTAGAAAAGCCACCTGTATGTGAGAAGGTGGCAAGCCAGCTGGTAGTGTTAAGTGGTAACCGCAGCCCCTTGACATTCACAACACCCGTATTCTGGCAGAGGCTCCGGCTACTTTACTCATCAGACGTAAACTCAGAATTATATCACGTCTACTTCGCACCCTGGTTAATCGTGCAAAAGCGGGGACTGTTTCGTGGCCACACCAGTGTCGGGGCATTTGTAATAAAATTAGTTGTGCTTTAGTGTGCAGCTGAAGTGTCGAAGTAGAAGTATCTCTGTGTCGGTGCCGATTAAATTATTAAATGCAATGTTCAATATTTACCGACTGTCGGGTTAAACATGAGGTGGACACTTGTGTTTTTGAGGAAAATTAAAAAAATGATTAAATGGTCATCGTGTTGTGATGATGCTTCGTAGAGTTTTTATGTGATCCGTCCGTGAAAATTATTTTATTACTGATTCTTTTTATTTAATTTAATTTTTATTTAATACGTTATTGTTGAACTAAAACTGTAAAGTACTCGATTAATATCGATAATGTTATATCAATTGTTCTTTGAATAGTAATAGTTGGAAAAATAGCTCATAAAACTAGATTACAATAGTTCTATTAAAAAGTGTAAATTAAAACCAAAAACTTGTATTAAAATAGTGCTAAATTTATAATAATTATCAAATAAAATTTAACAATGCATGAAACGACGAATATACTTTTAGTTATATTATATTTACTTTGCGTGACAACAGTTGCGATCATACTTGTATTATTGTGGTATTGTTATTGTTTTGTTTGTTTGTTTGTTGTGTATTGTTGTAATGACTCCTCAAATGCATCGAACCTTGTTAAGTTCATTAAGATCGTGATTTTGTAAAGAATAAATCTCTGAATTTTTATGTGCCGACTACGAAGAAGACCGCTATAAATCTGTTCCTCAATATACAACATTGAAATTACGAACTGCATTTGTTTATTTAGTACTTGATATTTATATTTAACACACAGTTTTAATATGAGTTTTGAAGGGAAGGATTCCAAAGCACTTTTTCAAGTTAATAACATTAAAATAACAGCTTATACATGTCCCACTATAAAGGAAGACTACGTATCAACGCATACTTTTCCAGTATCAAATCAATATTTTTTAAACGAAATCGTTTTAACGATTTTGTCGCGTTACTATTTATGCTATTATGTCGGTAAGTTAAAAACAAGGCGATAAAATCCATAAAATAGTTTTATAACCGTGATCATCTAGCACCAATTTAGAAAATGAGCGGCAAGAATCTCATCAGAAATATATATTTTTTTTAACCACTAAGGCACATTTTATATTTAAACTAAACTTCGGTGGAGCACGACCTTTCCCAAATGAAATGTTAGTCAGCGTCAAATTAATTCGTCTGGACCCAATCTTTATGTATTTCGTGACAGTTATTAAAGCAAGAAACTGGTGTAAGTTTGAATCTTTTAAAGACTTCCCGTAAAAGGTGGACAGAGCAGTTGCATAGACCTTAGTAACACTTCTGCTTTTCCTCTGTTGAGCGCCGCCTTGTTGCCACTTTCTCATATGAAAATATTTTGTAATACTTATAATATTGACTTGCTTATTAGCGTTGCAAAATTGAGGAATGTTACCGAGATGAAGTTTCGTTATTAAAACTATTCATGGCGAGGCCAATTGAAGGATCCTTCCTTACTACGGGCAACACTAGTTTTTCTCGTGCTTGAAATGTGCTACAAATGGATGGACGATTTGGGTTTTCGGCAAAACCATTATTTGCTTTTTGTCAGCTTCGCATTCCGCGAGAACTGCTTTTCGTTTACCATTCTGATGCTGTTATTCTGCTGTTAAATTCGCCAGCAATTAATTTTTAATGTACGTAATGTATGATTGTTTACAATTTATTTCTTAGTACCTATTTGCGTAAGCATCTAATAAAATTTGTATAAATTATTGTCGAGATTATTAACTGTTGTGGACGCAAATGTAAAGCAGTTTTTACATTATTTGTTTATTCAAAAATGGTTTTTATATGATCAACCGGAGTAACGCTAAGTTGAATAATAAAAAATACAGGCTATTTGCTACTCAAGCATTTTACGACATTTTCCTAGACATTTCCTCCACGGCTATTTTTAAAGGAATCTCTGATAGCACAACATTTTGCAATATGCTATAAATCTGTCATCCTGGTTATCCCGCTGTTTTTTTTTTCTTATTGTAACGGAATATTGTCTAAAGCATAATTTTATCAAGCATTATATAGATTTGTGAACGTCCATGTGAGTAATCTCTTAACAACACTCACCATAGTTTCGGTTGTCGTGTCTGTCCGTTTGTAAGTGACGCACGCGTGCCCTCCACCGATTCGCGTTTGTAACTGAGCGCGCTCGCCGCATACGCCCAGTGGCGTGCCTCGTTATTGCTATGTTCCTGCGTTATCGGCACGGCCTTTGAGTGTCATTATTTTTCATTTATCTATTCACATTTCACGGCACCCGATGTTGACCGTTCCCTGTTTATTATAAACACGCTGTCACGTGTCACCATTCTCAACTGTTTCACAGATACGAAGTGATTTCAGTGATATTTATATAGAATGAATTGAATGTCGCGGACAGATGATGCATTAGTTCACGTGCCACCTGCTACTGCGACTGCGACCTTTTTTTTTGCTAGCCAATTAAATCCGGGAGGTGACAGTGAGAGTGGCTCGTCCTCTACCACCTCCTCTGCAATTCCCCCCCCCCCCCCCCTTCCTCCCTTGATTTCAATTCCCACACGGATCGAAAATTTTTGCAAATGACATTGCTAATGACGCAGAAACATTTGGTCCCAGACTGCTTATGCCTTTTGTCGTAGTACGTCTGGGAAATCACGCACGTGATAAGGATTATTTCTTATTATACCTAGCGCGGGAGTCGTTTTCTACGTACGCCGGGAATGTGTAACATCGTTAACTTTTAAACATTCTAAGATCGAGACAAAAAATTTATTTCGATATATCGACAGCGATTAAGCGTATACACGGCACATCACTAGGGTCGGGGAGCGAAAATATATGCGCCTTATCGCGGGTGACGTAATCGTTGCATATACCGGGAACTGCACGGATTGGATGAGGCCGGGAGCCGCCGGTGGGCCCGCGTAGGCTTCCCCGGCCAAGGTCACGGGTGACGAATCGCGCACCGAACCTGCCACCCGACTCTCTCGACGTAAACAATACCGATGAGAGTAGGTGATCTGTTGTTATCAATTTATGTTTAACTAGCGATCCGCCCCGGCTTCGCGCGGGTGCAATGTATTATACATATAAACCTTCCTCTTGAATCACTCTATCGAGTAAAAAAAACGCATCAAGATCCGTTGCGTAGTTTTAAAGATCTAAGCATACATAGGGACAGATAGTGTAACACTTCTACTTCACGCCGGTCTTCTGTGAGTTTGTGGCACTTACGCGGACGGACCTGCCCAGTCGTGCAACAGCGAACACTGTTGCGTCACTACATAGGATAAAACAAGGTCGTCCCGTGTCTGTCTGTCCCTATGTACGCTTAGATGTTTAAAACTACGCAACTACGCAAACTATGATTCAAGAGGAAGGTTTATATGTATAATATATTGCACCCGTACGAAGCCGGGGCAGGTCGCTAGCCGGTAATAAAGCATAAATAAGTTAAAAAAAAATAAACACCTCAAGTAGTTGTTGCGATTGAATTGCTCGACTCCTTATTTCTCTCCCAGTAAGTACGGACATGGGGAGAAATCGGGGTGAGCGTGGGATAATTTTGGAACGGAATACCTCCTACAAGGAATCTATGGGATGACGGGTCCCTATATACACTCAAACGGTTGTCTTCCAATATGTATGCATAAAAACTTACGCTACGGTTTCTAAAAATACCATTATTTATTAAAAGCTTCTACGCATCTTGAGGTATTACTTTATAAATATTTTTATATGTATTTCGAATACAAAAGCAAGTCCGAAAAAGTTGAAACAAAATACATTTTTAACGATTTCATATTAATATTTACATTGTTGTATAGATTGATAAAGTTATTTGTTGTTTCCAATAATCCAGAGTTGATTAGAATTATAATACTTTGCTATGATTACATTACACACACTTCTGCGTTTCGACTGGTGAATGAGGTAACCGGACCCCGGGCAATTTATTAAGAGGTGGCAACGCACCTGCAACCGTCATGTTGCAAACTGGTGTTGCAAATACCGTCATGTTGCAAACTGGTGTTGCAAATGTCATGGGGCGCGGATACCACTTAAACTCGCACGCATAACTTTATTGTTATGAAGACGTTAATTTCTCCTTTTTAAGGTTCCGTACCCAAAGGGTAAAACGGGACCCTATTACTAAGACTCTCGTCTGTCTGTCCGTATGTCACCAGGCTAGGCTGTATCTCATGAACCATGATAGTTAGACAGTTGAAATTTTCACAGATGATGTATTTTCGTTGCAGCTATAACAACAAATACTAAAAAAAATGCGGACTGCTTCTGTAAAGCTATTGCATAGCATTTTTATCAACTTATGCAATTATAATTATTTCCGAGTGCGAGTAATTATTTCCGAGTATCTCCGAGTTGGTTTTTTTTTGCAAACTTTGCGATGCCCCCCTCCCGTGCTCCAGACTAATAGGTAGGCATTGTTCCCAGCCAAGGGAGGATGGCGTCGTCAGCTGTGAGGTCACCAGACTGCTTAGGGAGTTGTGCAACGGTGCGAGGTAAGTTTCACTTTTTAACCGACTTCAAAAAAAGGTGGTTATCAATTTGAAGGTTTACATTTTTTATTATGTTCGGTTTGTTTATATATTATATATTAATAAATTTAAAAAAAACAAGCTTTTTATCTAACGGCCAGAGTATTTACACAAAAGCGTTATTTTCCCTAACATTAACTAACTTATAGCAATTTAACACTAAGGACATTTTGTGGAATCTAAATAAACTATTTTAGCATCACTTAAACTTTATAATTATTTAACCTTACCGCAATCACACTACCGCCAAAATTGGGTCCCGCTGCTTGTTAAAAATTTCGGGAAAACAATTGATCTGATAAATGCATATATACTTTACCACAGTCTCTGTTATAATTGATGTGTGGGTTGCAGCTTTTTCGGCCTCCTAGAGTTCAACGATGGTTAATTTTGAGAATGTTTGTCAGTGTTTATAAATCTGATATTGAATCTGGCTACCCCAACCAAAAGGCACTCAACAAACTATATCTATTATCGTGTACTTTATCACAGTTGCCCACGCCTTTACGAAAATGACGTCATCTATGAACAAAATAGGTGAAACAATAAAACTAGATTTGTTTATCGGGTGACACGGCAGAAGAAAGGAAGTGTGCGCAATAACTTCTTCGTAATTCGCATACGATATAGATAAATACGGCAATGATTCATCAGGCTTACCGCTTTTGCGCCATTTTAGTACCGGTTTTCGGTGCTCCTACAGAGATATTAAAAAGGTGCTTTAAAGGAGAAACTAGATGACTGATCTGTCTACCAATGCACAGCTTAAAGTCTTAAGGTAAAATGTAAAAATTAGTAACTATATAATAATAAATATTTTAGGACACATTTTTACACAACGTTTTCTAGTCACAAACTGAGCAATGCTTGCACTATGGGTACTAGATAACTGATAGACATACTTAAACATACTTTTCTTTTGTAAATAAATACACATTATACATATATAAACACCCAGACACTAGAAAAACACTATGCTCATCACACAATATTTTTCCAGTAGTGGGCATCGAACCCACACACTGGCGCAGAAGGCAGGTACACTAGCGAGTATACCATTCGGGTCGTCAAACTAGTGCCTACTCCTTATCTTTATTACAGTAATAAAATAAAGTGACAAATATTCAAACAACCCGTGCTTATTTACGGGTTACCTATTATTCATACACTCTGTTTTTACCCGTTTTCACACGCAAAGGAGTACGATAATGGATGAAAGTTTGGATGTGAGTTCCGTTTATAAAACAAAACCTAACTAAAAAGCTAATAAAATTCTCCTAAACATTTTTATCGCAAGCGGATTAGTAAAAGCTCTCAATCTATTTATCATAACCGGTTATTGAAACAATTAAAATTTGATCAAAAATATATTATCCAAGCTATAGCGAAAGCTCAAGCGCTTCGTCAGATTTATTTGCCGTTATAAAGTTGTGTGTGGCTTGATGATGTACTCCGTCGCCTCAATTCTGGGTACCAATCCCGCACAGAAAATTTATTTGTATAATTTAGAGATAATCAAAGTCTGCGTGCTAAAGAAAAGTCTAAAACTTCTTTTCCAGCTGGATGACAAGCAAGAGTTTATATAAACAAACAACACACGCATGCTTAAACGATCGACTATTATCATCACGATGAAACATCGAAAAAGTCATGATCATCAATAACTCCCTATTAAGCGATTCCCCGTCGCAGCGGGCTCGTTGATTGAACTATCAGCGATGCCGATCTCGTTAAACCGAAATCGCCGTTCTCTCTCTCTCGCATTTTACGAGGGAGAGGGACGGCAGCTGAGAAATCTCCATCGAGATAAAAGCTCTCGCCTATCCCACGCTCGGCGACCATTCTAGACGTGCTGAGTAATTACTTTTTAAATTCACAGCGCCCTCCTTAACCTCTAAATTTGGTAACGTCAGAGCGCGCTCGAAAGTAAGGCGTGACGGGCGTTCCCGGCAAGCCACGTCCCACGCGTGGGCTCGCCGCTTACGGCCCAGTAGGCTAACGCCGATCGATGACGCGTCAATACATCGAGTTTCTTTCGAATGAGAACGTCTATCGCACTAGAAAATAATTACTGTATCGCGGAAGATTTCACATACAAACACAAGCACTTGAAAAGACTACTTTTCGAACAACTAATGTCCCCCGGGAGGAGGGAAATCAACAAGAGCTATTGAGATAGAAAATCTCTTTCATCAACGCTCGTTTTATTTTGGTCGACTTTGTCACAAATTATTTTGCCAAATTAAATGCATCCAAGAAAGTGAGAAACAACAAACGCATTAAAACGAATACTCCTTAGAGCACACGTCGGGGACTCGAATGATTCTTTAATTAGTGAATCACCATTGTAGATATTGGTCAGCGCTGCCTACAAAATGTTATCCTTTAAACGAGCAATTCTTTTATATAATCGGAATCTCGGAAACGGCTCCAGCGATTTTCATGGAATTTAGTATGTGCGTAGATTCTGGGGCAAAAAATCGATGTCATTTTTAGAAAATGTCCTTTTATCCCTGTTTTCAGGGAATGAATCTATCTCTTAATCCACATTTGTTACCAATATGTGGTAGCATACTCAAGCCGTGGCACCGCCTGCTATAATCAAACACTTAGGTACTGCGTAGGGCATTGTGGAACTGGCCACTTACAATTCAAAAAGGAGATCCATAATGAGACTGAGACTAGATCTACTTCGCAAAATGGTTCTAGCAAACGCAAAAATATGGAAATAGTGAGAACAAAAATGTACACTTGGAAAAATAATAAATGTGTCATAGATACGACATGATCTAAATATTTATGGAATGTGATCAATGTAATGTTAGATGTATAAATGGAGTATCTATTATTATTCGAGTATCTTTTAGCCTAATCCTTGGTTTCACTTAATATTATCCCGTCAACATAAAGTGCACTTTTTTTTTTTTTTGGATACGCGCATTTTGCATGTATAACGACGCTGAATTAGCCCAACGTGAACATGAGTATGATAAAAATGATTAAAAATCTTTTCCAAAACACCAAAGTCACAATGCAATAACACCTAACGATACATGTGAATTCAAAATGTTAAAGTGCACCAGTCAATATCTACTATGAGTTATTAGTTACTTATCACCCGATAAGCTGATTAAATGTAACATCTGCGCAGTATATTGATATTGATGTGGTAATATTGTAACATTTCTTCTGGCCTACAACGCATTTTCGGTAACGCCATCGGCACAGGTACCAATCGCCCTGATATAACTTTATCCCACAGGTTTCTGAGCGGCATCTTTTTATTTAGTTCTATTCCTGTTTCCAATTCCGATTCAATTGGTGATTTTAGTCTGTTGATGTGTGAGTGACGGCCTTTGCCACTTGCAAAGGCCGTCACTCATCTACGGGACGTCGATGGATGCAGGTGGCTCAGGATCCTGCGTTAGGCCGGTTTGTGAAGCAGGCCGATGTTCAGCAGTGGAATCAAACAGTCTGAAATAATGATTATAATGAATGTGTTGATCAAATCGTAGCAAAAGATTCAAAATTGCCAGCTCATATGCCAGCTATATAGCAGCAGCTCATAGATCAAATATTAAGACAAGGCTTCCTCCCTTACCTTTCACGAAAACATATTATTACTTTCAAAAACTGGGTAATACTTTTTTTACTACGTGAAACGTAAATTGCGAATCTGAGTAACAACACCACTCTAGAAACATTAAAATTTGTTGAAAATTGGATGAATTGTTATCGCCGCCGCAGGGATCTTATTTTAATGTTTCATTTTAAGCGCAAACATTAGCGTTATAAAAACTCAATATAACATTTAAGACAATCTCTTGACATATAGGTAATTCTAGCACTGTAAAACTCAATATAGATTTCCTCTCGACATATATTTTTAGGTATCCATGTGTAAGCCCTAACCATGAGCTAAGGATACGTGCCCATTGGCTCCTCGTATCCAGGGCTCGATGGAAAACAATGGGATGGGTGGCCGTAGTGTAGAGGCCGCGACGATTATGGTCCGGTCACGTAATACTACGTGATGGGACCTGAATAATATGGTCTTGTACGAAACTTGGTGCTGCGAACCTTACCGCTAGGCGATTTTCATCGCAATTGCCCGTTGATAAGGTAATCCTGACCTAATCGTGGTGCTACACAACGGAGCTATACTTATTTGGGACATATCTACTATATATCTACTGCAGTCTCTAAGCCTTTTGAAGTGGGGAATATCAAAGGTCCCTAACGATGTTAAAGGCCTGTTTGAGTATGTATCTCGTTATTTGAGTCTGCTTCCTCCAAAGGCATATTTTTTGGTACATACGAAAAGTATCCATTTCCAGACAAACGGTTGTGAGTCATCTTTACTAACTTTCGTGACTGAATCTTTTGACCTACCTCAAAATATCAGAAGCTTAAGGAGAATCGGGGTTTATCGTGTTTCTGAGCTTTCTTTTTATTTTTTTATTTACATTACAAATATTTGTTATATTTAAGGATTTCTGATGTTCTAATGAACACGAGATATTTTATGCGATTACTATTCTAGATAAGAGATAGGAAAGCCGCCTACGACTGATCTCTACATACTAACTATAGACCGTATGTTTCCTAATGGCCTTATATTCACCAGAAACTTTTCTAGTCCTCGGTTACTACCGACCGTAATCTACCACTTTTCGATGAACCTTAATCATATAACTATATACATCATTCCCATTAATAAACAAGATAACTATTTTTTTACCGAAATCATCAATAGATAAAAAATACGTGGTACTCTATCATTGAATAAATTGCTGATGCAATGATTCTTCGTCAATGATAAAAGTAAAACTATTGATAAGAATCCTACTAATATGAGTTGTGAGTTGTTAATCTTCAGTGCGATTTTATATTATGAAAAGAAAAACTTAATAGGAGATATTATGCATTATGGCAAAAACTTTTCATTCACCTAAACAAAAACTAACATGTCCACGTTTTAATTACGTTCTAAATTCCACCTACGCCCTACTTGTTTTTAAATAAACTGAATAATATTCTAATGATTGATAATGTCCTGGCATGGAAGCGGACAAGTTGATTCACCCTATCTAAATTGTAAAGTAGCCAGCATAGGCCATAGAAAGCAGCATATAGGCTTCGCGTTTCAGATATGTGAAATCCGCTACTCTAAAATAGAACTACAGTCCACTGTATTGAAGCCGGCGGAACCTTGATAACTCAAAAAAGTATATGTTTTATAACATGTAGAAAAAGTAGGAAAAGATTGTCGCCGCTGTGGGAATCGAACCCACGTCTTCGGCATTCGCGGCCTGACGCTCTAGCCATTGAGCTAAACGGCTGGTAACCACAGCGACGAAAATCTTAACGCCTTCCTTCTACATTGTTATTTAGCATTTGAAGCAATGCTTGGCGCATCTGTTGTTATATCCTTTCTAGCATATATAATTATGTTTGTCAATACCACGTTGCTCTTGAACGAATAGACCGCTTTCCGTAATACTCACACGAAATAATTATTTTTTTTTTAATGTGAGACGGTGGCAAGCGACCTGGCGGGTCACCCAATGTTGAGTTATAACCGCTGCCAATTGTCATTTGCAACTCCCGTAGGGTTGCAGATGTGGCTTGCTTTTAAGAAAGTGAGCTCCGGTTACCTCACTCCCCAGACAACGCAGAAGTGCAACACTTTCTTTGTCTTCTGTGTGTCTTGTCTTCCGTGAGGTCGTGGTACTGCCCTGGACGGCCCTGGCCATTCGTGCAACAGTGACGATTGTTGCGTTGCCCTACCACAGTAAAAGTTTTGTCTAAAGAGAATGCACACAGCATATTATAACCTAAAGGAAAGGGTATAGAGAAAGAGAGAAACGATAGCTGTCAAATCAGCCAGCATTGTAAGCGTTTTCTATTAGATAATTGTTTTAAACCGTGCCACATATGAAGAATTTCCTTGTGAATATAAAAGCTTCGCCCGTACCACTCCGTGCCTACACGTTCCCTTCCGTGTTGCAAGCGATTTGTTATGACTCCCGTTCGTAATCTACGTTCCGCTTTTATCGAGATGTGCCCTAAAATAACTTCGGTCAAGGGCAAACGTATCGATTTTAGCATGGTACAGTTCTTCATTTTTTTGTCTTTACTCTTAGCAACATGTGAAACTTATGAACTCCCAAAACATGGCACCAAGCTTTATACGTCACAACGCTTGACACCCGACATACATGTGACATGTGTCTGTTTTAACCTTTATAAATGATACTTCTGTGCGTGTGTATGTGAACTCCGCCTAAACATCTGGAATGAATTTTGATGAAATTTTTTTGTGTGTAATCGAGTGGATTCGAGAATGGCTAAAATTCACAATTCGGTCCAATACATTTTTTTTTTTTAAATAAATTTTTATTTATAAGTTGTCGTGTGTCTTAACTATGGAAATTATTTGCAGAGGGATTATAACGTCTCTGATATTCTTAGCGCTCAACATGGAGTTTTGTTAACCTCTTAACATTTCTTGCTATGTCTTGGTTGGTACGACACATCGAACTGTGGTAGGGCCACGCAGCAGCCTGGGCTGTTGCATGAATGGGCTGGCTCGTCCGGGTAATTACCACGACCTCACAGAAGACTGGCGTAAAAGAAGTGTAATTAATACTTTCGCGTTTCGTCTGGTGAGTGAGGTAGCCGGAGCCCAATTTTCAAAAGGTTGTCAACGCTAATGCAACTCTCGGGTGTGGCAGATATCCATGGGCTGCGGTATTCATTTAACATCAGGTGAACCACCTGCTCGCTCGGCAACTTTTCACATTAAAAAAAACACATGTAAAGTGTTTTTATTGGCCATAAAATAAAGCCGGCAAGGTGTAAGAGGAGCGTTATAAGATAATTGGTAATCCCGATTTGTGCAATGCGCTTTAAATTGAGGCGGCCTTGTGGAGCGCGGCTGATGTCATTCCGCCAGTCGCTCGCTTCATTTAATTCTGTAGCATTTTTATTTCTTTATCAGCAGCGTAGTTAACCGTGTGTCGGTGTGTAACCCACACGCTACGCCTAAAGAAGCCACAATCGTTTAACTTAATTTCGTCAACGTTTCAGTGAATTTTGAGTTTGATTCTTGCGTGTATTTGGTATAATCTACAGGCAAATAATTGTTATCGCATCACATTAGACAGACCACAAACTCTCTCAAAAGAATTACAAGAATGGTTCGCAAAGCTATTGAAAAAAAGAAACAAAGAAAATTTCATCAAATTTCAAACCACATCTACGTATGTTTATGTTGGTAGTTTTTAGATTTATTAGCTAATTATTAAATGTTATTTATTTGATTATGTAGCGATTATAACTACTTTACCGCCCTTGTCATTATTTCTCTGTTCTACCTAGGGTTAGCTGGTAGAAAATGCAATATAGCATTAAGCTCGCCTTTGTACAATTTTTAGTGCAATAAAGATTAAATAAATAAATAAATAAAATTTAATTTAAATTTTGGGATGCTCGCGTAATTAATTATACGTAATAATAGTTTTAAAATTTATCTACTTATTACTCCCGCTGAACATACAATGATATTAAAATACTGGGTTAATATCGTTTTATTACTATCACCATAATTAACATACTTAACCAAATGTTAATAAAATAATAAACTACTGTAAACGGTCAGTTTCAATTGTTTTATATTTAAATTTAATGCTCCTTGAAATTCATTCATCATCATTCATGTTTTAACCCTTCGACGGTGTATTGTTGGAATAGAATTACCAGTTATGTTTTAATCAGCATAGATTACGGGTTCAAGCGTAAAGGAGTTATCTAAAAGCTTTGGAATCCTGTATGATTGTAATGATGACCTTCTCATCACCTTCTTAATGCAGTCATAAATTTCCCGGTGACCTTTACTGGCTAAAACAATGGCGAACGGCCTTTTATGTGGTTTGTCTAGACGTCTCTCCCACAGGGGTTCCACCCTCGCTGACGTATTACGCCATGGCGCATGATGTCACCGACGTATCACCCCTTATTAATTCGGCAAATAAGTTATGATCAATGTTAGCCCGCTGTTGGCACACCCCTGAATTGCTATGTTTCTCAACTTTTTAAAACGTCAATAAGTTTTTTTGCTTTTAAATACTATTAACGTTACATACGTCTGACTTTACACGGCTGATGTTGCCAAGATTTTTACACATTGCTTCGTTCATGATCAGAAACAAAAAGGAACGTGTTTCGGGAGCAAGGAATGCTCAACTGCTCTGTGTCAAAAGCACCAGTCCGCAGACCCCCACTATGCCTCAGCTTTTAAGGGTAAGTCGTTTTCAGTTGAACCTTTGGTATAAAAATTTCGTAGTGATAACATGCACTAGAAATTTAAACATTTTGCCTCAAAAACATCAGTTACCATTGTTTTGTCATTCTTATTGCCTTTGTATAGTTTTCTACGTTATTCGTGACTCAGAATAAGTTCAAACTATATAAATTTATGAAAGGCGTGACTTTTTACTGGCTGAGATGATTTTCAACTAATCTAGATTGTCATTTTTAATTGCAAAAATCTACTCGTGATATAAAAACATAAATAACTTCACTCATTTAAAATTTCCTATGCCTCTTCGTTCGTTTATTCTTGAAGTTTCACTTTTCCTAACAGGCACTATGTAAATCTTCTAGAAAATTCTTAAAGAAACTCTATGTAGTAAATTAATAGACAACGGAACATAATAAACACCAAACAACAAATTTAAACACATCATCACCTAAGTAGTAACAGCTTGGGAGTTTAAAGTAACAAAGAAAAAAACCCGCAGATTTTAGAAGAAACTATCCAGAAAAAGTCGCCAAGGTCGATGAACCTCAAACCGACCAGCATCAAGGATGCGGCGAAGTACCGCATGGCGTTCCACATATCGGACAAGACCGTCGAGAGCCTGATGCAGTACCGCACCAAGTTCGTTCAGCACATGCTCACGAGCGCCATGTACGCAAACAGCTCTATAGAGAAACCCTGGGAGATGGTGAACATGTAAGCCTTTTATCTCTCGCGTTTCTTTACCCTCAATTTAGTTTAGAACAATCCCATGGACTTCCTCTCTCGAATCTAGTATTTGACCACTCACTAAGGATGTTTTAAAATTTTTCGCCCTTGGATCCGCTAACNTGTATTGTACAAAACTCTTTTTAAGAAACGTTGCTTTCATCATAATTTTAATTATTTCAGTGTATCGGAGAAAATTTTAGACGAACTCCTTCTGAAGTGTGCGAAAGAAATGCAGCTTTATGACGTCGTGCGACAAATGTATCAATGCGAGACGCAATGACGTTGGACGCTCTCCCGATACGTGTATTTGACTTACGACATTGCCATTTTATAATAAACGTCTGCCTTTGTAAACACCCCTTTTATTTCCTGTGATGGTCATGACCACCAAAGGTGATAGTAAAACACAGTAAATATTATGTCTATAACAATTATATTAGAAACGAAATTAAATCTTACGTCTAAAATTCGTTTCGTAAAATTACTCTTACACTGTTTCAAAATAATCAACGCAGTCACACTGTCATATTGTCATAAATAAGGCACTTAAGCACACAACTAGGTAGAAACGTCCGACCTAACCCATACAACAGGAAACTTAAAAATACACGCACCATTGTCTCCCCAATGTCGTAGCATTATAACTTCACACATCGTCGCCCTTATTCAAACTTAATCTAAACGAATTCAATACTTCACCGAACTTTGCTTTCTGTCTCTTCAACGTGTCGTTTTTGTCCACCTTTGGCATTTTGGAAACGCTCTCCATGCTTGAGCTGTCAGTATGGTAAGACTCTTCGGGCGTGGGCGGGTTGGATTGCATGACGCGCGCTTTCGGCAAGCGGGGTCCGCCGGCCGCGAATATATTCTCCAGTTTCGATTTTAAATCCTCTCTGCTTAACCCGCTGTCCTCGTCATCTGTATCTGGCTCTGCTGTATCTTCTTCAGTGCTGACGGGGCGCAAGTTCATCGCCGTTTCCATTGACGCTATTTCCTTCTTCAGGTCTAAGAATATCTGCGGCCGCTCCCTATCTAAGGCATGCTGTGTGCTGTCCGTCAGGTTTCCTGCAGAATGCGATCTCTTCCGTAGCTCGTCGCCGTCATTGGTGGAGGAGATTTTCGTCTGGAATATGTTGTTTAACTTGCACATGAAGTTCATTTGCTTGTCGCTGCCGAAGATCATGGGACCCTCTTCAAAAGAACTGTTCGACTGCACGCTAACTCTTGGCTGACTATCTTCGTCGGTCGGAACGAATAAAGTCTTGGTGGGCCTCGAGGAAATTGTGTACGATTTCTTAAAACCTGGATTTGCGAAGTAATTCTCGTCTAAAGGCGGTGGAACTGGTATTACTGGAGCATCCTCCTTCAGGTCTCCAACGGATTCGCTAAATGTATTCCTATCTAATGTGTCCGAGTATCCGGATTCGTCTGTTCTGGAATTTGTTTCGCTGTCGTTGAATCTTGTCACTTCTTCGTTGTTATCGACTTCCTGTTCAATTCTCTCTTCCTCTTCAGTGACCTTTGGCAAATCCTCTCTATGCACTTGCGCTATAACATCATATTTAGATAATGCTTGATTACCCAACGATGCGTCCGATCCGGCATCAGACAATTCACTCAATGACTTCCTCTGTATAACGTTTGGCGTTTCTTCATCCTTCTCCACTTCTATTTGCTCCTTAAGATTGAATATTTCTCCATAGGAATCTTCCTCCGCTTGCAACACTTGATCTAATAAATCTATAATCTTCGCCTCCTTCTCTTCGTTGTCCTCGACAATCGCTTGTTGGACGATTATCTCTTCTGTTACGAATGGTATTTTATTTCTGACAATTATTTCCTGTATTGGCGCTACACTGACGTCGTTACCGTTGCTCACTATCAAGCTACGATCCCCTCCGCTGCTACTAGGGACTTTCATAGTATCCGGAGGCGTTGGCGACTCAACTATTATCTGAACGGGCGGTCTGCCGTTCTTGCTCGCTTCCGAAGTCGATTTAGTATTATCGTTTAAGTGCTTGCTGTCGGCTCTCCCGCAGCAGAATGTACAAATCAAATACACTGGAATACCTGGAAAGATGTAACGGAACAGTTAGGTAATGTTCGGTAATAACAAATAAATTATTTCTCGTGGCTTACCAATTAAAATCCAGATTAGTACACGAATCCACGTTTGTACGTTGATGAGAATCATGAGGTGAACGTTAATGTAGATGCTGAGGCACGGTATAATCGGGACGAGGGGCGTCTGGAATGAATACAATGGTTTATCTTCTCGCATATAACCTAACGCTTTAAATATCATTCAAAAATTACAATATCTTTTGTATAAATAAGATGAAACAAACCTTGAATGGCAAGTCAATATTAGTTTGTGGTAGCACCATGATGACGATGAGTAGCAGGAAACATATAGTGTGCAGGGCTGCCATCACAATGAGTTGTTCTTTCGAGTAGTTTGCCACTAAAGCAATTGTCAGGCAAACACATACTGAAACAATATATTTTGTTATTATATATTCTCTCAGATTAGAATTAGAAGGAAATATAAAATAATTAAATATACTAAGTGTCCAGGCATAACAGAACTATATTTAAAGGGGGTGTTTCAGTTATTTTCGTCGATAAATTCACTAGTCTAGTGTTCTACGTCGCCCTCGTCAAAATGCCCGCCATTTTTATTTTTACGTTAAATTTACGATAGAGAGTTCATGAAAATTACATCCGAGTACACACGTACTACAGAATGCTAAGTTTGATTATCATTCACTGGTTTTTGAATAATATTTTCAACTTATCTTAGGAATGTAAAACGATAGATCGAGCATTTCACATAATTATAAAACACCCGTAGGATTGCAGAGGCGTTGCTATCTGTCAATAAAGTGACCCCAGCTACCCCATCCACCAGACGAAACGTCTAGACGCATAGTGTAACACTTCACGCCGGCTAGGGCGAGGTAGTGGTTCTCCTCTGTACGGGCCTGCCCATTCGTGCAACAGTGAAGACAGTCACGTGGCCCTAACTCCACTGACATGTTAAAGATAGGATAGAAAGGAAAATATTTTGAAATCCCGAGAAATACATGCTGTTTATTTCACTTGGAGGCTTATATTCGATGAAACTTACTGAACAACAAGAGAGTGCCGTTGGCAATCCGCGAGGTGAGGACGTTTGGACCTCTTGAGCCGCACGCGAAAGGGCCGTGCCTCTCACCGTCCGCCGCGTACCTGAAACCACCAGCACCAGGGCTTATGACACAATCGGAGCGAAACTTGATCACCTATTCACCCATGTAAGGTGTTTCACAATTGGATGCTGGTGAAAGGCAATACGCACGGGCGAGGCAAATTCTAGCGTTTTCCATATAAAATGGTGCATTTGCAAAATATCCGAATCGGAAATGAGTATTAGGGACTTTAACTGAAAGCTTAATGGGTAAAGGTTTTTTGTGTGTGTTTACTTATGCGTAAGAAAAGAAAAATAAAAAAAATACCCCGTGCGACAGTAATCTTTGTTTGTGAAAAAAGACACTGAATACAATTTATGACGGTTTAATTAAAAAATTTTAAACCAATGATGTTTAATAATACACGCAGGTCCGTCCGGGTAATTACCACGATCTCACAAAAGACCTGTGTGAAGTGGAAGTGATATTCTTCTGCGTTTTGTCTGATAAGTGAGGTAATCGGGTCTCACTTTACTAAAAGGTGGCAACGCATCTGAAACCCAGGGGTGTAGCAGATGCATGGGCGACATCAGGTGAACCGTCAGCTCGCTTGGCAACTTTTCACAGAAAAAAAATAACACATTTTAAGATGATGCATTATTTTTCACTCAACTTTGTCACCCTATCAATTGCTTTATTTTATTATATGGGATGATGAACAACTACTACCTTAATATAACGACGCAGGCGGCGACTATGGTGTAGGAGAGGAGCGTTCCTATGCACATCATCATGACGAGCTGATCCAACTCGAGTACACCGGCCAAGATGGCTGCAAACAGTTTCAAATATAGCATTATTATTTGCCTACAATTGATTTCCATAAAATGACTTATCTTTACCGAGTACTAACCTCCTTGCTAATATTCAAAGCCGAAATTTCAAAGCTCAGCCACTCATGAATGAATTTTTATTTTTTTGATTATCACGTGAGGTAAACTTCGAAATTTGCGTGCCGACCGTAAAACAGCTCTGAGCAATAATATAATTAAAAGTAATAATATTTGGTGCTTACATAAAGTTCGGATTCGTTAAGAAAAATTATAACAGTATGTATTCAATATAAATAATATGGGAAGTCGATGGATGCAGGTGGCTCAGGATCGTGCTTCGTCAGTCTATGGTCACACAGGCTGAAATGATGATGTATGCAATTAGTACTTTGTACACACCTATGACGCAAGTAGGCAGCAGCGTGGCCACCGCCGGGGACTTTCGCCTGGCGCTGACCTTGGCCAGCCAGGGGAACAGTAGACCGTCAGACGCCATGGCGTAGAGCAGCCGCGGCAGAGGCAACAGCGCGCCGATAAGACTGCAAGTGGAATGAGGAAATTGCTTAATAGCTCGATGCATTTTCTAACAGAAACTCGGCACACAACACACCTCGTCTAACACGAGACGTTTAGACGAAACGAAGTTCGTAATGAAGGTCCCTCGAGGACCTTCGTTATTACCTATTGAAAATTAATACGTGTCAGCTCTCAACGACTACCATACAGTTGACATCTACCGTAGCAAAGGGGTAGTTAATAACAATTCATCAGAAGAAAGAATGTTAAAAGCAAAATGATAATTTGTCGCGTTTATTTTCTAATAGCTTCGCTTGCTTTTGATCCAATAACGCGAGCGGCCTGAGTTCAAATCTCTGTGCCGGCACCAATGAAATTTATAGTTTGTACTGTATACTTTCGAAGTGGTAACAAAAAAAATTATTTCGAACATCGCTTGGTGGTCTATGCTGTACCTAATACCCTCTATACAGAGACCTTTGCCCAACAGTGGGACATGTATAGGGTTAAAATTAACAATTTAATTGGTGCCACCGCCGGAATTAGGATCAAGTCAAATCATTTATTCATCGAAGTCTTACTCCATGTACATTTCATCTCATCATCATCATCATTTCAGCCTGTTTGAGTCCACTGCTGAACATAGGCCTCTCTCATAGACTGCCATGAAGTACGATCCTGTGCCACCTGCAGCCATCGACTTCCCGCACATTTGCACAGGTCGATAACCGACATAGCTCAGAGGATTAGCAAGCTGAAGTGGCGATGGACCGGCCATATAGCTCGTAGAACCGATAACCGTTGGGGAAGAAAGGTTCTCGAGTGGCAGCCTCGTACTGGCCATCGCAGTGTAGGACGACCCCCCACATTTCATCTATCGATAGTAAATTTTTAGGGTTTCGCACCCAAAGGATAAAACGGAACCGTATTACTAAAACTGTCTGTCTTTCCATCTGTCACCAGGCATGACATGAACTATGATAGTTAGGCGGATGAAATTTCACAGATGACGTATTTTTTGCCGCTATAACAACAAATACTAAAAAACAAGCCCGTACGACAAGCATGTTTTTTTGCCGTTTTTATAAATACGGAATCCTTCGCGCGCGGGTCCGATTCGCACTTTTCCGGTTATTTTTCCTTAAACTATTATAGTATTATATAATTCTTAATTTTGCAATCGGATTTTTTTTTTTTATGGGAATAGGAGGCAAACGAGCATGTGGGTCACCTGGTGATAAGCGATCACCGCAGCCCATGGACATTTGCAACATCGGTTGAGTCGCAATTGCGTTGGCGGCCTTTAAGGAAGGAATAGGCTCTCTTCTTGAAGGTCCCTAAGTCGTATCGGTCTGGAAATACCGCTGGCGACAACTCGTTCCACAAAGTAGTTGTGCGGGGTAGAAAGTTTCGTGAAAAACGCACTGTGGTGGAGCGCCAACCATCAAGGTGGTGTCGATGGTACTTGGCGGTTTGACGAGTTGTACGATGGTGAAATTCACCAGCAGGTATCAACCCAAACAATTCCTCAGAGCACTCCCCATGATATATCCGATAGAAAATGCATAGGGATGCAACATCCCTACGCAAGGCCAAAGAATCAAGGCGATCGGACAGGATTTGGTCGTCGACGATTCGAGCAGCTCTTCGTTGTGACGGAGGATTACTCGTGTATATTGAACTAGAAGCGAAGGCCCGGACACTGACGACTCGGGATGACGTAGTGGATGTCTCAATTTGAGTTAGGTTCATGTTTAAAAACGTCACCTTGCGGAGATCCCAAAAAGGGCGCCCACAGAAACCGCCCACCGCGCCCACTCCCAGCCCGCGTATGCGAACGCAGTCGCCACAGAAAACACCGGATCCTGGATATGAAAAGGATGCCGCTGTTAATGTAACTCCACCTATTTCAAACGCTTTGGCGTATGGCACAGGATCACTTTCCTCTGCGTTATTAAGCATGTGTACATGTTCATTTACAAAAGAAAAATATTGAATAAATTCACATTAAATTACAAACTTAGCCCTAGCGAAATGCTGCTAAGAGCGACATTGTCTTTAAGACTGAGCCTTCTTGCATTTTGTTCATAAGAGGAAATGCACAAACACTTCACACACGTTCCTTATTTAGGGCATTGCTAGTTCCCCAGTTAAAGCGCGCCAAGTTTTTAAAAGCAGTTTACCAAAACAGCCCAAAACCTAATACACTTAGGACTAGTGGAAAAAAAAAACAGTGTAGCTCTGATACACTTACGACTAGTGGAAACAAAAAGTCTGCGCCCGAGAAAGGATACCGATACCTGCAAGTGGTACGGCACCATCATCGTGACCACGACGGCGACGCCCGTGTAGGCCAGCAGAGCGATGGCCAGCGCCATCAGGATCGCGTGGGGGATCGCCCGCCGAGGCTCACGCACCTGCAAATCGACAATAGAATAGAAACCACTTATGCAAGACATCGCACAATACCTATTTACAAACGACAAACATTGTTACAGTACAGAGTCAGCGTATACAGAAATAATAAAAACAACAGGAAGAAAAAAATGAGAAAAAAAGGTTGCCTGGAAGAAATTACTCTTAGTAATAAGGCCGCCCATTGTACCCTTTACTTCTACATTAAGTTTTAATTTTTGTTTGTTTTATTTGGTGTGCAATAAGGTATATTCATTCATTCAAAAGTAAATTGGTTAAAAAAAACACGTATACATAAAAATGGGGTTGCGCGATGCATTAAAGGTCCTGCCTGAGTATAAAACTAAGGTCCTAAGACCTTGCGAGTAGAACTGGTTCACATCATCTCTTTACTGATTTTGTCTCTATTTATATCTAGCATTGACTACGATTATTAGTGACTGTAATGCTAGAAAATAATACAACTCTTATATTATGTTGAATTTTTTGGAATATGTCTGTACGATATTCTACTGGGTTTAGGCGACTTACCGCAGTAGTCCTCCTGCAACCTCGTGTCTTGGAGTTGGCTAAAGAGAGCCCGGGCAAGTCGGCACAGCGCAGATATTAAAGTCCCGCAGAATATATCGCACAAGGATCCATAGGTCACTGAGCACAGTACTTCCAGGGTGAAAGAGATCTCGAGAGGATATATTGTAATAGCACGCAAAAAACTTCGGTGCGTACGCGGCGATGACAGCAATTCGAATCTTTTACTGACTCGACTGCCGCTAGTTTGTGTGGCGCTAGTAGTAGCCGTAACTCACACGTTAAGGATTGAATTTAGACATAACGGCTGATCGCCAACCCAGTGAAGAAAAAAAATAATAATAAGTAAATAGCATTAAGATACTCCAAATTGTGTCATCTTATTAAGTGTGTTTAGAATGACTATAAAATTATATGAATTAAACTACTCTTGTTCCAGTACGGAACAATGTTTATTTTGTATATTGAGTCTTCTCATTTCAATATCTCTCAATTTATAATCTGATCTGCGCCTGCCGAATTTTCACGTCCAAATGTCTCAAGGAGAAGAATGAACGGAATATTGAAATATTATATACTTACTCACAGAAGACCGGTGTGAAGCGGAAGTGTTATACTTCAGCGTTTCCTCTGGTGAGTGAGGAGCAGGGGTCCACTTTATTAAAAGGTGGCAACGTATCTGCTACCCTACGGGTGTTTCAGAAGTCCATAGGTGGCGATTATCACAAGTGATGGTAATCAGGTAGACTGCCAGTTCGCTTGCCTAATTCTGACATAAATAAATAAATATAAATAAATATTTTAGGACAGATTTTTACACAGCATTTTCTAATCCCAAACTAAGCAACGCTTGTACTATGGGTACTAGAAAACTGATAAATATACTTGAAAATACTTTACTTTTGTAAATAAATACATATTATACATATGTAATAAACACCCAGACACTAGAAAAACACTACGTTCATCACACAATATTTTTCCAGTAGTGGGAATCGAACCCACACCCTCTGGCGCAGGAGGCAGGTACACTACCCACTAGGACATTCGGGTCGTCAAAACGTAACTGACATAAAAACGTAACTGTCAGAACTGGCTAACTGCTCTAGTCAACTTACTTCCTCTGCCATCGCGTTAATAGAATCGAATCCCACGAAGCCATAGAAGCAAAGGGCGGCGCCTCGCAGTGTGCCCCAAACGCCGTACGGGAAGAACCCACCAGATCCCTGGCCCTCGGGCACATCTTCTAGTGGGATGCTCCAATTACCGAGGTCGGCTGTGAAAGCAGAAAGTATGAACTTAATAGTAAGCACACTTTGTGATCAGCGTTGGTTCGTCGATTGCTTCGACGCTACACTTTCGTTGTGATGTTACAATTTCTCTTTTTTATGCATTCCTAAACTATTAATATTATATAAATGAACCACCATTTGTAAAACAAATAATTTTATAAAAAAAAGATGTATCGATTTCAAATGTGTACACTGTACATTTTCTATTTGATTTTGAGGAGTTCCGAGGATTTATCTCCGAAATCCAAACATAATTTTTAAAATCGCTTCAGAAGTGACGTAGTTCTGAGGCACCAAACATAAAAAAAATCATACAACCTATTGAGAAACTCCTCATTTTTTATAAGTCGGTTAAAAAATTACCGCCGCTCTGAGACACAGTTAGATAATGCTAAGCTTTAACAAAAAAAATGTGTCTACTTACGCACTTCACTCGTTAACGGTTAAATTAAATATCTTGGAATTATAGGTAAATATCAATGCTACGAATATCAGTTTTTTATACATACAACCGTGTCCTATAGATATATAAACCGGTATCGGCAACCCCAGGGTGAATAATGTAAGATAGTTTATTATTACTCGCCTTTGAAAGCTCCAACTACCACAATGAACAGTATTACGACCATGTTGGTGCCCGCCAACACGTTGTTCACAGCCGACGACTCGCGTACACCGAATGACAGCAATACTGCAGGTGATAAGATACAATGAGCGGTACAGTGATACACGTCAACATATATCCCACTGTTGGGCAAAGGGCATTCGTAACTGAGAGTAGTAAGCAAGCGTTCGCCATGCATTGTATAAATTAAACGGCGAGGATAGCGTGAACACGCTCATTTTGATGACTCCGTGGCGCAGTTGCCAAAGTATTGGCTTCGGCGTCCGTGGTCGTGAGTTCGATTCCCACACGGGACAACCGTTTGTGTGACCCACAGATAGTTGTTTCGCATCTGGGTGTTTGTCCACGTGAAATTTATGTTTGTAAAATGTCCTTACAACACAGGATAGTATTAAATTATGAGGGTAGTTTTAAATAAAATTACTAAAGTAGCAGTTGTTACCTCCAAGTACTATGACGACAAGAAACGAAAACACGTCGAAGTAAGTGGAGAAATGCGCCGAGTTGATCGGTGCCACTTCCAGGAACCAGTGGGACATCGATCCGTTGAGCATCGAGTCCATATGCATGCTTAAACCTCGAGCTATACTCGCGACGCCTGAAAATAAACAATAAAAGTAATATGCAATAATTGCTTGGGCATCATGCTTAATTAAATCTAAGTACAACGACAGACTTCAGATGTATTGCCAGCCATTATAAAAGCGGGCCCCGGCTAACTTACATACTAAATGCAGCACGAAAGTATAATACTTGTAGTTCACGGCGGTTTTCTGTAAGGCCGAGGTACTACCCCGGTGTGGGGCCCTACGAAAACTTCAAGAAATAAATAACATTAATCTGGTAGCGTCAGGAAATTGTGTGCTCCTAACCACAACGATTTGAACGTCAGTTTAGCTGTAATTCTCTAATTTATGATACTTGCTTACACCATTTTTGTTTTATGTGATAAGTTTTCAAGCTAGCAGGTAGTTCAGCTAATGTTAACAGATCACTGCCGCCCATGGACATGGGCAGCTCCTGAGGGGATACGTTGACAGCCTTTTAGAACGTGGGCTCCGGTTATCTCACCAGACGAAACGCGAATACATCCACTTCCGGTTTTTTGTCGTTTCCGATGACGCATTATATAGTCTACGGGGTTAAAACACAAACACGCTACTGTAAATAGATTCTAGTTGATGTTACCTGCTTTCAGGTCAATTAATAAGGTAATTGCTAAACCTAATTATAATTTACATGAATAATACACAAATGTAAGTATGGTAGGTAAGAAGGTTGTCGACGCATGCGATTGGGAAGGTCTTACCAAAAGCCGACTCAAGTATCATGTTCCAGCCGACGATGAACGCGACCAGCTCGCCGACTGTGAAGTAGACGTAAATGTAACCGGAACCCGCCTTCGGTATCCGCGATCCGAACTCCGCGTAGCAAAGACCTGGCAAAGTCACACTCTTAAATTATTAGAGAAATAAACTCTAAACAAAGGCTAACAATATGCCTTTGTTTCGAGTTTATTTCAAATCTAAAAGTAAAGTAAAGTAACAGCCTATACATGTGCCACTGCTGGGCAAAGGCCTCCTCTATACAGAGGGTATCAGGGCATAGTCCACCACGCGGCCCTGCGGATTGGCGGACTTCACAATCTTCGAAAAATATTTTTTTTTGTGATTATTTCGAAAATATGCAGGTTTCCTCACGATGTTTTCCTTCACCGCGGAGCACGTGATAAGTTAGCACTTGAAGTTAAAAACTTCATTGGTGCCGGCACCGGGGATCGAACTCAGGTTGCTCGAGTATTTGAATTCAAGACGAGCGACCGGACACTGAGCTGTCACGGCTCATTTCAAATTGGAATAAGCAAAGGCCTCCTCTGTAAAGAGGGTAGGTATAGTCCACCACGCGACTCCACAACGGATTGACAGACTTCACATATTTTCGAATTTAATTTTTGTTATTATATTATGTGCAAGTTTCTTCACGATGTTTTCCTTCAGCACTAAGGACATTATAAGTTATCACTTAAAACATAAATTAACAATTTCATTTATGCCAGCAATGGGATTTGAGTCGGTGGCTCGAGTACCTACATTAAATTAAAAACGAGCGCCGGGACACCGAGCTATGGAACTGGCGATAGCTTCTGCAAATTTTCACTACATCCGAAGAGAAATTATCTTTCTAAAAATCTGAGGACCAAGCTCGGAAATGATCGAGAACAATATCTATAGAGATAAATAAAATTGGAGTGTCCGTTTGTAATATTAAAATAACCGCTTTTTACTAAATGCATGTGGATGTATACACGGTACATATACCAAAATATTTTTTTTGCAATTTTTTTCAGTCTGTTTGTTCCCACTAATCTCTGAAACGGCTGGATCGATTTAGACGGGACTTTCACTGGCAGATAGTTGATGTAATAAGGAGTAACTTAGGCTATTTTTATTTTAGATTTTTTTTTATTTTAAATTCCACGCGGACGAAGGTGCGGGCACAGATAGTAAATAAATAAATACCTGCAAACAATGACGCAACAGCCGCTATTAGGAACGACAGCACGATGGAGGGGCCCGCCCAATGCAGCGCCACCGAACCCACCAGCACGTACACACCCACTCCCAGGGTGCTCCCCACACCCAGAGCCGTCAGATCCCACAGATTTAAGCATCTGCAAAAGTGATGAGTAGTTGTATTTATGCATTACTTTGTGTGTAAAGGGTCGGGTAGTCTGCCCCAACGACCACTGCAATCTAGAAGATCTGTTGTAGTCTTTCCTTCAAAACATTGGCATAAAACACAGGATAAAATTATCCTGTGTTTGATAGACGTTTTACATTCATAAATTTCGCGTGCAAAAACGTCCAGATCCGAAACGATTATCTGTGGGACACGCAAATAGTTGTCCCGAGCGGGAATCGAACCAACGACCCCGGGAGCCGAGGCCAATACCTTCGCAACCGCGCCATGGAGTAATCAAAAATTTGGCACAGACATGTTTGAGGACAAACCTTCTAAGATTGGTAACTTCCAACTGCTCAGGAGCGAGCACCCCCTTCCTGACCAATGCCCTCCCGAAGGCACCCCACTTGCCTCCGGCCATTTATCGACTCAGCCTGACGCTCACCCCCCAAATCCACATCTGGGCAGCGTGAAGATACAACCTGAATCGTAAAGTTTAGTTAAATTTACTTATGGATTAAACAATATAGCCGAATACAACACGTAATCAATATTGCCGTCAATTTCGTTGGCTCTTAAAAATTAATCAACAAAGGAAACGGGCAATATCCAGCCTGCATAAAGGTTAAACTTCCAAAAGTTTCCGTGTCTCATAAAGCTTTACAAATAATTTCATCATCATCGTATTATTATAAAACTTACAAATAAATACACAAAGTTTTATTATCTCTATAATTTACTTAGAGCACTTAAATATGAACTTTACAAATATTAAACATTCAACACGTCCGTAACTTTTTTTGTAAGGGTATAAATATAGACGACATTAAAGTTTAGTATAGTCTAGGAAAATCAAACTCATCAAAATACTAATAAACACTTAAATTTCAACGCAGAATTCAGAACCAACGCTTAAGCATGTTAAACAATTCAATTTTTTGCCTCTACCTATAGAGAAATTAAATTGCTTCAGTATACTGACTAAGACTTGCTAACAACGTAAAAAGTTATCAGCCTTGCAAAAAAATGTTAGTGAAATAATTTCTTAGTTTTTTAGAGAAGTAATTATTCATAGTTATATTAATAAGAATACAACTTAAAAATCATTACAAGTAGGAAGTGGCAAAATTGAATTGAAAACATTTGAGAAATCCCTGCAATATGACAAAATTACCGCACGACATTGAGTACCCGAGATATGTGTCAACTTTAAAATAGTAAAGGCGATAAGATAAGGCTAAGATAAAACGGTTTCAATGAGTCTTCACTTTAACTATTTTTATGAGTACAGTGCGAAAGTTAACTTTATTTTAGTGTACATAATTTATACGTTAAAAATTTTATGATTGTTACATGTAAAACATGCCGTTGTATATTGATGAGGAACTGTTCTAAGTAAGATGTAAACATACATTTTACATACGTCTTGAATGAGGCAGATATGAGCATTAATTCTTCTTCATTCCATCCACTGCTTTGCTCGGTCGTATTTTTATTTAATATCACTGGAGTGCTCTTGAGGAGCCCTAACCATCCGAATACGATCTTAATACTATGATTCGACTTTTGACTAGTATAGATAGACATTCTATTATTTATTTATTTGTATAAATTTAATAATTATAACATATATAATGAATATGTTCAATACAAATATTTTAAATTAATGTTTTTCTAACTTAAATGGGTCGTTCAAAGTAAAGGGCACTGTCGGGGATTAAAGATGTGCTCATTTCGGGACTTTCTATTCAAATATAACAATGGCACTATTGATATCTAATTAATATCTACATCCTCATATACAGCGTGTCGTTACCATGGCGACAATAAATGAACACACGTCTAACGTTACTTGCCAATAACCATAAAAAATATTAACGTTAAACAAAATCCATAATAAAAAAAATATTTTTCAAACAAACTAATTAAGTAAAACAGAAATAAAATTTGTAACATCCTATACAACTCGCGCCACAGCGTCGCAGTAAGCCTCTCCTTCTAACAGTATGTTTTATCTCTTTTAAATTCATTCAACCCATTCATATGCTTTGTGACCTTCACAAATGAACTTTGCGTTACGCTTATATAGGTAAGGGTGTTCTGAAATTCTTTGTTTTGGAAAATTTAATAACTGTGTAAATATTGATGTTTAAAGATTCAAAATCTTGTATAAATGTTTAATATAACTTTAAAAAGTTATCCCCTATATGTGTGTTCATTTATTGTCGCGATGGTAACGACACGCTGTATACACTGGGCCATATACAGAAGTATTGCACGCCATTTAATTTTAATTGAAAAATGGTAATTTTTTTGCCTGCCTATTAGCGCAACAGTCTTATCTGTTGCACTATTAGGCAGGTCTGTCCGGGAGAGTACCACAACCTCACAGAAGACCGGAGTGAGGTGGATGTGTTACACTTCTAAGTTTCGTCTGCTGAGTGAGGTAACCGGGGCCCACTTTATTAAAGGTGACAACGCAACAGCTACCCTACGGGTGCAAATGTCCATGGGCAGCGATTAACAGTTACATCAGTTGAACCACCAGCTTGACATCTTCTCATACAAATATGAGAAGAAGTGTTATTCTTAAGTTTTGATTTGACTTAACGATTGGCATGGGGAGTAGTGGCAAGAGGCAGTCTTGCGCCAGAGGGTGTGGGTTCGATCTCCACTACTGGAAAAATATTATGCGATGATTCCAGTGGCTGGGTGTTTATATATGTATAATATTATTTATTTATTTACAAAAGAAAAGTATGTTTAACAGTTTTCTAGTACCCATAGTACAAGCGTTACTTACTTTGGGACTAGAGAACGTTGTGTAAAAAATGTGTCCGAAAATATATTTTTTTTAGAATAACACTTAAATAACAATTGTGACAGCAAAAACATATATCACAGTTTATAAAAAAAATAGAGTTCTTAAATATTTGAATTCTTTATTTCTCCTTCACAAGCCCGTATAACATCATTAAGACGATGAGGCATGATCTCCGTTTGACCGTTCTACGGAAACGAATGAAACGAAAAAAATACCTACTAACGAATTCTTCAACTCGTGTAAGTAGGATTTGCTACTGGGCTGAAAAGTTGTCTAGCACATCTCTCAAGCTCGACCCACACATGTTCTACGGGATTTAAGTCTAGATTGCGAGATGACTACGCGTTGACCAAATAAGCAAATGGAAATCGCACCATAATCACTAGAAAGGAAGAAAAAATCTTCATGATAATTTACAAAAAAACCGGCCTAGTGCGTGTTGGACTCGCGCACGAATGATTCCATACCACTGTCGTGTCGGACTCGCGCACGAAAGATTCCGTACCACTGTCTATAAAAACGGCAAAAAAAATCGTGTTTTATGGGAGCTTCCCCTTAAATATTTTTTTTATTCTGTTCTTTTGGCATTTGTCTATAGCGGCAACAGAAATACATCATCTGTGAAAATTTCAACTGTCTAACTATCACGGTTCATGAGATACGGCCTGGTGACAGACGGACAGACAGACAGACAGCGAAGTCTTAGTAATAAGGTCCCGTTTTACCCTTGGGTGCGGAACCCTAAAGAAAATTGGAGTGATTGAAGAAGATAATTCTGGGTATGGAATGAATGCACTCTCCTTGTGTTTTCTAAACGACAGCTGATTTAGACACACAGCTGATTTACCACACAGTCACAAATGTCACTTGTTCATTATCGGGCGATTATTGATAACTGGCAATCTACCTCATTGATAACAGCTGAACTGCTAATTAGTGCTGCTATTGTTTTCGCGCTATACATCACTTAGTAAAAAGACAAATGGCATGACACATAAAACCTACGTTTGACGAAAGCATACTGTGGTAGGGCCACGAAGCTGTGTTCGCTGTTGCACGTGTGGGCAGGTCCGTCCGGGTAAGTACCACGACCTCACAGAAGGGCGGCGTGAAGCGGAAGCTATATACTTTTGCATTTCGTCTGGTGATTCGGGTAGCCGGGGCCCACTTTATTTAAAGGCGGCAACGCGTCTGCAAACTTACGGGTGTTGCAATTGTCAATAGGCGGAGGTTATCACTTAACATCCGGTGGACCGCCAACTCGTTTGCCACCCTCTAACATAAAAAATTATATAAAAAAAATAAATCGTTCAATGACCTAGTGGTAAATTTTTTGGACAATATTTATGGATAATATTAAAATTAAATAATTGACATGTTTCATTTTACCGATTATCAAAACCGAACTGATGGGTGGTTTGTATAATGCGCAAGCGCTCACACATTCAAAGAATTTCAGATTCTTTTTTAAATAATGACACATTTAACTAAAAACTTATTTATTAATAATATATCCTAAATATGATGATGCACCTTTTGTACTGAACAAAGAGAATGGTTTTCTTTTATGAGAGAAGGTGCTATGGGAGCTGGCGGTTCATCTGCTGTTATGTGATAACCGCGAACCTTGGACATAACTGAAATACCTGTAGGGTTGCAGTTGCGATGCCCACCTTTTAATAGAGTGGGCCCCGGCTTCCTCGCTCACCAGACGAAACAGAAGTGTGACACTTTCGCATCACGCCGGTCGTCAGTGAGATCGTGTTACTTCCCCGGACGGACTTGCCCATTCGTGCAACACCGAAAAATTTCTTGGCCTTACGTGTACGATCTGCAAATATTGCTTAGTGATCTGCTCCAGTTAAATTAGGGCGTCTTCGCACACTTCTGAGTGCGCAATACGGTAAATTAAAACCACAACGAGATCCTCACCGCCTCTATCTATGATAAAAGCAAATTTGGTCGTGTAATACGCCGTTAATGACGTAAGCGAAAATACTCGGACCAGGTGCCACATAAATATTTACTTTTCGCTTTTTTTAGTTAAAATTATTCAACAACGCTAGGAAATATTGGCAAATGGGTCGGTATGGAAAGTCGTAAATAAAATAAGATCATCTAATCATTAAAAGCAAACAACCCATGTTGAATCTCACACGAAGACATGAACGTATGAATGAATACTTGTGCTGATGGTAAAAACTGTTTGTCACAAAATATATTTAACCATGAGAATTGCATATAATTTGTACATAACTTCGACCTGCAAGTCCCCTGGCTGCACTTGCAAGTCCCCTGGCTCCTGCTAAATTATACTAAAATAATTTAGTGTGTATACTTAAATACTTAAAAAAAAATAGAAATAAAATATAAATATATGATCGCAGAGTTTCTTGCCGGTTCTTCTCTTGCAGGTCTAGTTTAGTGAACCGGTGGTAGTTTTTGACGTTCAATAAGAGCTTAAAATAAGCCTATGTTGAATAAAGAAATTTTGACTTTGACTTTGATCTTTGAGCTTGCCTATGTATTTTTGATTGACGTTATTACTTCTAGACTGAAAAACTACGTAAATTTGAATGCGCACCGTGTGTTATTTG